TGTCAGTGCCACAGTTAACGATCGATTAGATCGATCAGCCTCGCGACTGAAATGCATGGTAGACTCGAGCCTATGAAAGAAACGGAGCGAGAGCACGGCTCGGAATGGCGCAAGCCTATGCGGGAAAATGAAAAATAGGGGGGAAGGCTAGTTGCGAAAACAAGCCCATGCAAGAAAAAGTGTAGCCCATGGAAAGGCCCTACCATGCATTCAGTTAACTGTGTCCTACACTGACAGACTGGAGCGATGTCCAGATTGGCGCTGCTACGTTTATGCCTTGACCTTGCCTCATTAAGTCAATAACACCTGACCCAACCCCGACTAACTGGATAAGCTAAACCTTAGGATGAATTAAGAAAAGTTATGGAAAAGAAGCCCATGCACCGGTAAACTGCCATCATCAACGGGATCTATTGCAGTCACTCTGTGCTGCAACAGCCGCATATCCGAGCTGTATATACACCAAAGTTATAATGGTTTGGTGGAGGAATAATAACATTCAGAGTCTTCTCATCTCTCCTTGAGATACTGTTCGCTTGTTTTTTTTCGTGTGTATTTTATTTTTATGTTAATGTTGTATGGCGCATCTTTTGTTTAGTACTTTCGAGGGTTGGCTGCCCTTGTAAGTACTTACACTATAGCCTTCAAATGTAACAGTATTCGTTGCCGCACCTGTCCCTATATGGCATAAGGAAGAAACCTAATCATTTCCCAACCCTTCTGTAAGACAAGTCACGTAATCTATAAAATCACATGTGGTTCCTGCAACCTATCCTGTATCGGGAAAACGTGTATAACCGTGAACTTAAGAATGAATAACCACAGATCTCATGTTGAATCAAATAGAAAAAAACCCAACATATAGAAATGCAACATTTTCAAAAACAACTTCCAGAACATTAACCCTTTCAAGGGCCAGTTTTTTCACACTTTTAAACGCCTTCAGAAAACATGCTCCTTCAGAGTAATTTTGTTCATGTTCTTCATGTATGTGATGTAGAATAGATGTGACGTGATGTGATGCTCATATATAATATATATAAGCATGTACACAAATTTTCGACTTACCGGTACCGTCAAAGTGCTAAATTTTAAAACCCATATATGGGTCCATGCCCGCGAACAGGTTAAGATTGAAAATTTGAAAGTAATATTGACGATGATGTAAGGCTCCTGGCTGAGGATCAATGTTTTATCGGCCATAAAACTCTATACCCTTACGGTCACAATGACAGGTACCAGGGCATGAATATGACTTGCATGTCGAACAGTTCTGAGTCTTCAAATTCCTGCAGGTTTCAAGGTTAAGTAGGAAATACTTTTCAAGGAGGCATAGACATCCTTCTAGGAACTGCAATCCCCACAGGAAATTTATAGACTTTGGCAAGTTACTGAAGAAGTGAGAACGTGCTTTCCTCTCTACTAACAAAGTCATTACTAAAATGAAAAATGAAATAAACTTTCTCTGAAAAGCAAAAGTGAAATGTCTTGTGAAAATGATCCTTTCTGATGAAATAAAGAATCAGCACTTCATAGATATCGTCGTAGTGTTTTGTAAATTTAAACTCAGTGAATTCTTTAGAGAAACAAGTAACGCATTCAAAATCGTTTCTTATTGTTCCTTTCCTAAGTAAATGCCTTGATTCTTTAAAATTGGCTGCAGTTTTTAGCAGCATGCATGTCAAAACAAATTTCCCAAAAAAGATGCCAATCCAAGAATCTCCTATAGTTTGCAAAACCTTGCAAAACCATGCAATCACAGGCCATTTGTTGAGGATCTTGATCTTGATTCGCTTGAGAGTTTGCCTTGCAAACAGCAACAGTAGTTAAAATATTAATAATTATGTCGATGGACACCACGGACATGTTCTTACTGGCAACCCAGACATTGAAGAGAACGTCCGGCTTAGAGATCTAATTTCAAAAGGTACCAAGTAAACCCAAGCATCATGTTTGTGTTAATTTTACGTAAACTGAATGTAAATTTTTTGTCTATTTCATATCTATTTTAGGCAAACCATCATCAAGATAATGTCAACATGTTTGCAGAAATGTCCCCTATGTGATACGTAAACGGTGGTATAAAATTAACGTAAATTTTACGTAAAATTGAAATTCCCGTTTCCATTCCAAACAGCATGTTTACATTCATTTTACGTAAGATTTATGTTAATTTTCCCCTGGGATTCATGCGTATTTAAAATAATTACATCAAAATTGATGATCAGATTTTCAGGCAAAAGATTGGGATTCCAATGGGCAGCAATTACTCTACTAATATGGCAAATTTACTTTTATTTTAATATGAATCGAAACTTATGAACGAAACTCCTAATCCAGAAGCATATTTAAATACTATCAGGTATTTTGATGATCCAATTCCTAATAAATAACGCTGCAATAACAACAGATCCTCATCAAATATATATTGACTGTCTTGAACTAGAAGAAATTGTTTCCCCCCATACAAATATGCTCATTATATGGATTTAAATATTTTTTTGCAAAATGGAACAAATTGTTTCGTCACAGATATATATGATAAAAGGAGGGATTTTAACTTCGAATTCATTATTATGCCCAAAGCCAAAATAATATTCCTAGCCATATCAAAAATGTTATAATTTCCCAACTGAAATATTTTGTGTTATCTGCTCTGACATAGAATAATTGAATTTTAATAGTGAAATCGTACACCAAAGACTGAGGAATAATGGCTTCTCACGATACCTCTTGAGAAAACACTTAAAACTTTTTTCTCAGCAATTCAAGAAAGATCTCCGCAAGTATCCATCTGAAGAGGGTGATACTGCATTTTCGTGGTTGCGTTAGCTAGGAGGTTTTTATAACTTTGCTGTATAAACAGCTCGGATGTACGGCTGTTGCAGCACAGTGACTGCAATACGATCCCAGTGATGATGGCAGTTTACCTGTGCATGGGCTTCTTCCCCATAACTTTTCTTAATTCCCAAGGTTTAGCTTATCTATAGATAGTTAGTCGGGGTTGGGTCAGGTGTTCTTGGCTTAATGAGTCAAGGCCAAGGCATAAAGGTAGCAGAGGCAATCTGGGCATCGCTCCAGTCTGTCAGTGTAGGACGCAGGTAACTGAATGCATGGTAGGGCCTTTCCATGGGCTACACTTTTTCGTGCATAGGCTTGTTTTCGCAACTAGCCTTCCCCCCCCCCCATTTTTCATTTTCCCTCATAGGCTTGCGCCATTCCGAACCGTGTTCTCGCTCCGTTTCTTTCATAGGCTCGAGTCTACCATGCATTTCGGTCGCGAGGCTGATCGAGCTAATCGATCGTTAACTGTGGCACTGACAGACGGACTTAAGCCGTGATTGCCTCTGAGACATTAGGTGGTGTCTAACTGTTTAATTCCACAGCCGTAGCACCTGTGGGTAGAAACTTTCTGGATAGGTTTTGTAAGTCAGACTCTTGGCCTCAACCCCCTAACGACGCAGGCTGCCCGACAAATTTCTAGGATAGGATCCTTCGCTGTCCCTTCTCTTTGTAACTTCCTTTAGCCTTGCCCCATACCTGCAGGCTGTCTCTAATAATTCGGACTCTCATCTCTAAGTCCCGCGCTTCTGGGTCCAAAGGTTGGGCATTTTCTGTTGCCCTTTGGTAGTTTCAGACAATTTCGGCACCAAATAACTTCTATATATACACTCAATGTCCACAAAATTAGAGATACCTCACTAGTAGCGTGTTGGACCGCCTTTGGCCCTCAAAACAGCATCAATTCGTCGTGGCATGGATTCCACGAGGTGCTGGAAACGTTCTGCAGGTATCCCGGCCCATGCTGCTAGCACAGCGTCACTCAGTTGACGCTTGTTTGATGGCAGTACAGGCAAGCCCCGCACAGCCCGTTCCACCTCATCCCAAAGATGTTTTATTGGATTGAGATCAGGGGACTGTGCGGGCCACTGGAGCAAGGTAAACTCCTGGGCATGTTCCTCGAACCAATCCGTGACGATACGGCCCTTGTGGCACGGTGCATTGTCCTGATTTGGCCGTGATTTGGCGTACTGAAGCCCGCCTGTCGGCCAAAACGATACGTGACAGCCTTCTCTGACCTCGAGCATCAACGAGGCTCTGCCGTCCACAGGATGCCCTTGCATACCTTGTTTTCGCTCATCACGGTATTATTTTTCCCTTATTCACGATATACCCGTGAAACTGTAGCACGTGAAAAGCCTAGCAGTTTGACGGTTTCCGCGATACTCAAACCAGCTAGTCTGGCACCAACGACCGTTCCACGTTCAAAGTCGCTGAGGTCTGTTGATTTGCCCATTCTGCAGTCCAAACACACACACTAAAGCAGGGCTGCCTGCTTAAGGTCACAACCTAACCCAAGGCCCTCCAGAGTGGCAGGCACGTGAAGCGAAAAATCCATGCGCGCGCAACGTATCTGAGACATATAAGGGGGGTATCTGAGCCTTCTCCATCACTTGCCTTCCTGCAACGAACGATGGTTGATGGTTCTCTAAAAAAAATGCTCGCTCTCTCATTCATGGTGTCCCAGAATTGACTGAACACGGGGGTTTTGTATCCGGGCCGCTCTGAGCTAGGCCTACAAGAATATGTCTACACCATAGTTAGAGAGAAGGACACGGAATGCGGCAGTGCTCAGTCAATACTAGGACGCACTCTTTAGTGAATCGCGCATTGAGAAAAAAACGTGCAGAAGCGGCAGTCAATTTTGTATTGTTCGGAGATGTAGCCTTACTTGGGGTAATTCGTGGGATAGGGTCCCACCCATAACACTTCACAGAGTTCCTAAAGATCTTTACTGACCTGCAGCATTCTGTCATGCCAAGTACAACCTGCCCAAGGCTCAGGAAAAATTTGCGGACGAAAATCACCCAAATTACAAGACTGAGATCGAAGTGTCTTATCCTCCAATCCGAGAAATCCTTGCTAAACAAAGAATTGAAGACTCGCGGAAAGATTGGATGACACCTCGAAGTCACGAGTCCAATGCCTTTCAATCGAGATCATCTCTGTTCATTTCTCTCCTGCTCAGATGCATATTCTGAAGGGAGGAAAAAGACCAAAGAATGAGAATCCACAGGCTGTATGTCTCAGAGCGATTCAGGTACCCAATATCCATTTTTACCGGGGAATGGATCTGGCAGCGAAGAACACACGCACATGGAAATGGGGTCTGTACAATTATACCCCACTCAGAGGCTTATCATTCCACCACCTCAGCCTTGTTTGCTTCTGTATTTTATATATTTCACTGAGAACATAAATTAATGTTCGATATTATGCCCGAAAAAATAGAACCAGTGCGGTTGATATGAGGAAAGGCGACAGAGGTTCAGCCGCACGCTCCTTCACGCACCTTCACGCACCTTCACATGCCGCACAGGTATCTGAGACCCCTCCGAGCTGCCAGGCACGTGAGCACTCTGGAGGGCCTTGACCTAACCTACCTAACTTAGGTTAGGTTATGCTGTAGCTGCATGGAAAGTTGAATGTAGGGGTATCTCTAATTTTGTGGACATTGAGTGTATATATATACACACACGTAAATATAACGTTTACCGTGGCAATATAAAAGCTCACAAATATGAGGGCATGAATCAAATTGCATAAATTTTCTATTTCATGGAAGGTGCAAACTACGTTGCTAACCTGCAATAATTGTCCAGATGATGCTAAGAACGGCAATATTGAGGTCGTGTCCAAGCTCTTGGGGCCTGTGCCGATTCTCTTTCAGGAATTGGCAGAAGTTGATGACTGAATCTTGGATGATGGAATCCAAAGCTTCATTGTTCCCGAAGCCTAATTCCTTGAAAACGCGGGTGGTAAAGCGACGATTAACATGCCAACTTCTCCCATGCACAAATGCAAGACCTGCAACGCAGAATCGAGGGTCCATGATGCATGTGCAAGTAATTCCGTACCACATTCTTCTTTCCTCGTATCCAAGGAAAAAAAATTGGAAATTCTCATGAGCTTCTGTAAAGAGAGCCCCAATCGTTTGGCTCACCCCTAGGTTTTCCCCAAGACATCCATTAACTTTTCCCGTCAACGAAATTACCAATTTCCAGACTGCGAACTAGCATTGTAAGGCTTTTGGCCTTGGAGATGAGTTTGCGTACCGAGTTCCCGCGATTCTGGACGAATGAGCCGGAAGTCCGGCCGACCCGAGATCTCCAGCCGCCCGAAGAATTCTCGCACGATTTCCCAGTCGTTCAGGACCACGACGTCATGGTTCAGCAGGCGGAGCGTGAAGATTTTGCCGTATTTTTCGCTCAATGCGTTCATTGTCTTCAACTCGTAATCGTCGTAGATGAAAGGGACGTATCCAAGGAATGGTAAGCCCCATGGGCCTACAAACATGGGGACAGTGTTGGGTAAATTATTCAGCCGTTTGTCTGCATTTTTGAGGCATTTGCTGTCGCGGTTGCACAATTTCGTTGTCTGTCAGAGTAAGAGTATTTATTTTTAAATTGCAAAAGACGAAATGAAACAATAAAATTGCAAACAAATTGAGAAACCACTCACGACAGTGGCAAGTACAGTCAGGCACACACCTAAGCTTGAAATCCGGCTGAGAAACTCAATTTCATCGGTCATGCATTCCTGAATGGACTCGGTCGGCTGTAATTCCGCGGCTCTTCAGCTATTGCTAGAACTCCGCTCAAGTAATTCTTGATTCTTCACTTTAGAAATTATCAATTAGACCAAAATTTTCCGTTGAATTGCAATGACGAATTGCAGGCTTGGAAATGTGACTTATTCAAAATCACAAACTATTAATTTGTCCTTTAATTTTAATTACTCCGAATTATATTACTGCCTACCATTGCATATGGCCGAGCGGGTATGATAATAATTAAAATTTTAAATATCAAGCATCATTATTTGATTATTTACTATCGCAAATTGCGTGCTATTTCTAGGGAAAAGTAGGTTACCCGGTGGAAGTTTGGACCAAAGTATGAGCTTTTTCACGGTGTAAAGAAGGAAACAGAGGAGCAGAAAGGAACCCAAGACGAATGTAACACTCATCGTCCAGCATGCACGAAGGACTGAGCGACGCTCTCGCATCGCGCTCGGCTTTTGGGAAGTCCCCATCACGACCTTGGGGGCCCGACGAATTGCCCGGGAACTGCGCGCGACTGAGGCGGTTTCAGTGAGGCCGAATGGTGAATCATTAAGTGGATCATTAAGTGGATCATTAAGTGGATCATTAAGTGAATCATTAAGTGAATCATTAAGTGGATCATTAAGTGAATCATTAAGTGGATCATTAAGTGAATCATTAAGTGAATCATTAAGTGGATCATTAAGTGAATCATTAAGTGGATCATTAAGTGAATCATTAAGTGCATCATTAAGTGGATCATTAAGTGAATCATTAAGTGGATCATTAAGTGAATCATTAAGTGGATCATTAAGTGAATCATTAAGTTCAAATAGTGGATCGTTAAGGTGAAGAAGATGAGGAAAAACTGGCGTCTTTAGCGTGTGATGAGTCAATGCACAAGGACTCTCAAAAACCAGGAAAATATATTCATTCGGTCAAATTGCTGCTGGCATTTTAACCCGTTTTCCGCAAACTCTCGCCTGGTGCGATCCCCTTTCGTTCGACCGGGTCGATTGCGTCGTGCCTTCAAGAAGCAGATGGGTTTTTTCACACTTTTCAAATGAACTTTTGCCTCGTTCGCTTATGGGAGTGGGGCAAGCATGCTCTGAGAGGTGCTGCTCGACGTGCTCTCCTTTCCTCGAAATGTTTTCTTTCTTCCATCTTTAGTGGCTCTATGTCTTAGACTGATGAAACGCTGTGTTATCTGGGTCTCTCCTTTTATTCCGCTCCTCGCGCGACATCTCGAATCACCAATCTTCCGATCCAAGTCGAACGGGAGATGTGGGCCGCTAAATTCGTCACGCTTTCCGCTCCCGATGAAAAATGTCGGAATGACCGAGAAATGGTGACTGATAGTGAAGACCACGGTGACGAAGACCGGTGAAGACCATGAGTCTTCTGCTGCCTCGATATGATAGGGATTTCGATACAACGGCAGTTAAATATTTCCCCGCCAATTCTTGAAAACACTATCTAAACTGAAATATTAGAAACATATTAAATAAGCATTAGTCGAAAACCTCGCGTTACTTCGTATCCTAGTATATAATTAGTATTCGAAATCATTGAAAATAAAAAAATGCAGTTTCTTTCCCTTTGCGCGATGATAGTGTCAGTTAGCTTTATATATCTATGCTTTCCAAGTCAAGTTTGGAAATAAGAAGGTGAAGTACGACAACGTGATCCTGTGCTGGATGTTGGCCCCTGAAGGAAGTTCATATATGACGAGTGAAATTTGACAGTCGTTTCGCATTTCCGTGAAAAAGCGACGATTTCCTTGGCGCACGCACGTGCGTTTCTGGCACGCACGGTTTATTTTACGATGCATTCATGCGGATGCGCGTGAAGGGATGCAAGGTCCATGCGAACCCGTCTGGTCATCCTTGTTCGCCATTGTCCCCCGTTGTTTTATTGCTGAAGCACAAGTAAGCTTGAAATGCATTGCATAATGCACTTATTCGATTAAAATCCGTTCCTGTTTGTATTTCCGAACTCTCTTCTTCTAACCAAAATATTTCACCCTCTATGATAGACGAGAGAAGGGAGGCAATTTGTCAGAATCCTGGTATTCCAACGGTGACGTATGCTTCCAGGAACAGGTAAAAGAGGCTGAGAGTTCTTCACGTTTTCGAAATTTGATTAATAAGATGCAGCAGCTGTTGGAATCGCGATGCGACTATAGCTATATATAGGGAGAAAAATAGCTGCTTTCTTTCCTTCTCCCATGCCTATCCGGCTTCCGACTACGGGGAACAGGACTGGCGTTTTCTGGATGTTTTTCCACGACCTCCCTTGCGCGGAGGTCGACAATGACTTTCCCGAATACGAAGAAGAGTGGGAAATTTTTCGTCTAAATCTCTGTTCTCATAACTGTGTGGCGTTGAATTGCCGAAAACCCAATAATTAAAAAAGAGGAACAGACAAGAAATTTAGGCGTCTGAATGGGGTGCAGAGTAAATTATTCAGACAACTTGTGTCGTGGTACGCTTCCTCACAGTCTTTTACCGCTACTTTAATTATCTTCATCTCACTCTACAATACTTACTCTAAGAATATTCGCCTCCCATAATGACTACGTACACTCAGAAAAAGGGGAGCGATTTTTCTCATAAAAGAGAGTAAAATAGCTAACTCCAGTTTCACTCTGGGAAAGGAGCGAATTTACTCCATCAACAGGGAATAAAATTGCTCTCCTCCGTGAGTAAGAAAGCTCCCATCAGAAAGTGATAGGGATGTCATGCAAATACGAAAATTCTCATAAATACTGTGCGGCGCTTTCGTTCTCGTACAGGCGTTCACCTACCTCTGACTGTACTGATTACAACACACGTCAGAGGGTGGACCATCTCTTATTGGTTCCGTGGAGTGTCCAGGATATCAGTACCTTATTACCTCATCTAATTGAGGTATGATTGAATGAAGCTCACGGACACTATGCATATTCTAGATCTCCTATGCGGATAAAAATCATACCCTCCCAAAAGGGTTCTCAATGGGAATATGAGCTTGTTTATGGCCTGGACTCCATGAATACGCAGGAAAATTTAGCACGTAAATATTCGGGCATTACCCCCTGGAGGACGCAAACTGACAATTTCTCCTGAAACCCTATACGGTTCTGGAAGGATCCAAATGACTTTCAGGCTGAATGGAACAAGTGGAACAAATTGAGATAGTTGACGCCATTGACCCTTTCCAAAATGTCAAGTATTCAAGGATTTTTTTGCCTCCCCATGTATAGCTAATTTGCTTTTGCGATTTTCCGCATCTTTCCGAGCCGAACCGCCGCAAATTACCGCATTCATATGCAAGTCTACTGTGAATTTCATAATTGTTCATGTCTTCGCTGCATAAAGCACAAAAACGCGCCCTGCTACGCTGAGCAGGTAAGCGCCATCTCGAATTTAATCATTTTTCTGAGACGATGGTGCCACAAATAAATTTTGCATCACGGTCAGCACCGTTAAAATATTCATAGATGCAATGCTCCCATACGTGGGAAAGAATTTCGTGGTTCTCCCTCAACCATTCATGTATAAAATGAACGGGAGAGAAATCGTTTGTGTTGAGATCGACCGGCGAAGAAGCATGCTGTAGTTTCGTCGGGAATGAGATTTTTAAATCACTGACTGAATACTTCCACGCGCCGTTTCCGACCTTCAACGAGAACGAAGCCGAGGGCCTCCACATTCCTCATCAAAGGTGTGTGATGGAATCCTGATCGCGGCGATTCGCCTTTGTCTCCCCGTTGATTTGTTGCTGACGGACAACTTGGATTGGAATGCATTGTAGAATGGTCTCATTCCATTAAAACCTTTCCTGTTCGTTATTTCCTGCTGCTTCTTTCATCAAGAATATTTCACGTCCAAATTTCATAGCAAGCTCTTGTCATCAAGACGATTCTTCTACAATTGACTAGAGAAGGAAGACAATCAGGGGAATTGGAAAAAAATGGTGTCCTGGTAAATCCAACGTTTCGGAAGCGTAAAGCCTTCTTCAGAGAGTGGAAAATCGAGCCAAAAACGAAAAATGCCAAGAATATAAGTGGGATAAAATGTGCTTAAAAGAAATCTGCTCCAACGCAAAGTGATCCCTCCCCTTAACGCTCGATCTAAATTGTACCTTGATGACCGTCGCACTGTTTTCGTCGTTGAATTTGATCACTGGATTTCCTACATTCATGACATAATTAATAAAATTTCAAACATTTCTTCCCCTCAGACGAGCTCAGAGACCTTCCCACACCCCCCCTTTTCCCCCTTTTCAAGCGAAAAAAAAATGGCTACGGAATAACGGGATGCCTTTGACGAACATATTTGAATATTTTTCTCATAGTTCAATTTAAGTCACGATTGCTAATGTTGGCAAAAAAATGTTTCCTCCTGATCGAGTCAGGTAATTAGATCTCATTCCGATAGCGTATTCCGAAACGTTGTTCGGAAACAGAGTTGCCAACTGTGTCATGTAAATCAATATAGGGGAATATAGCCATCTCGATTTAGAGTCATATGGATACATCCTTAATTCCATGCTAGCACAGCACTGATAGCACTGCACTGATGTATGCAACACTGGCAGTGTCAGCTTCCTTTCGTATGGAACATCAGGCAGCAAAAGATCTTCCTGCGCGCATCCTCTGGATATACGGATAGACATACTGGACATCTGTACGAAATATGTAGTTCATGAGAAGGCGGTGCATGAGAACTTCCTCATGCACCGCCTCCTGGATTTCCGCTTCACGTACTCC